ACTGCCCATGTTACCACTTACTAACTGTGGTGCTGAAGACACAGAACCACATACCTACATCACGCCTGCTGGTAACTTTCAGTAAAACTGAAGTTACATAACATTTAGGCACTTCGCTCATTTTGCTTTGGACAGGCTCCCTCAATGAATACAAGAATATCTCCAAAATACAAATTACAGACCCCAGTCTGGGGAAAGCACCTGCAGTTTCAAAGTGTACCACAACCCAGTAAAAGCAGCAGAATTAGACTCTCACTCCATATCTCTAACTCTGAATTTTCTTAGGACCTTGATCAGTAAAGGACAAAATTGCTTATTTTTCTAATGATGCCTTACTAAAGTGTAGCTTTCACTTTTGGCTTTTCTGCAACACAAGGACAGAAGCTCAGAATGAACAGCTATCAATTTAACACTTCAGCCAAACTAATTTATGATGTCCAACCTCCAAACTCTGCTTAATCTAAATGAGAAAAATGCAGCACTATACAGAAATGATTCTGCTTTGCAGTCTCAGCTCAGTGCTGCTTTTACCAGTGCAATGCAGTGGGACTAGGGGAAGGTGACTGCAGCATACTGCAGCATCAGGCAGAAATGCATCAACTGAATGGTGCTTGTGGCTGTGATTTGTTCAGCCAGAGACAACAGGACAGAGAAATGTCTTCGCAGAAGGCTCTCTGAGAACTCTTCAAAGATGTTTCATGGGCAGCACAACTTAGAGCAGCCTACAAGATGCTCTAACATCTACCAGGCAACGGCTTCGTGATGACAGATTTCAGGAAGAGACAATTGAATTAAAAGCAATTTTACACTGACTTTTGAGGAGCACTTTCCAAGCTGTGATTGTCAGTAAAAGCTACAGAGCTACAGAGTACATTCTGTTTATAGATAGATACCTCAACAGACACAGCACCTCCTTATCAACTTCACCTTAGCAACAGAATTTCCATTATCAAATCCCCCACAGTTTTTTATATTTAATTTTACTTTTGTATTTTTGTTCAGTCAACGGTTTGTGGGCATGGAGGTACTCCCCTGACAGGCTGTGTATGGGAACCACAGAACACGGCAGACTTAGTGACGCAAAGCTCACAACACAAAGTGTTTAGAGAAAGTCTACCATATGCTTATGAAATATTTCGCCAAGCTAGAGTTTAAGAGTTAATTCATTTATTAAAAAAAAAAAAAGCTTTAAAATACTACACACTACTACAGACTCAAAGAAACTCATATCTATAGTACACAGGGCACTGGCAGAACAACTTCTACTCTGTCGAGTTCCACTTTGACCTTTTTCAACCAACCATAAACTAACCATCAAATAAAGTCAATTATTTTCTTCTGAAAAGAATCTGTCTTACTAGCTACCACAGCATGTCCAAGTGACTATTCAAGAAGTGTTAAAACACAGAGTTCAGTGAGGCCCTTAAGTTTTTTGTTATCTAATTTCTAATTTTTCTGTTGTTGTTGAGAGGATTACAGGAATTGCTTTTCTTTCTCTTTGTCTTCTTCCACTTCCTTTCTAAAGATTAGAAATAAGATAGCTCTCCCTGAGAGAAGCTCAAAAGTATGTATGCAACATGAATTATATTATATTAACATGTTCTATAAAAAGGTGAGAGTGATGAGCCTTTAACAAGTTTTGTCATTAATCTCATTTTGTTAGCCATTAAAGCCAAAAAGATGCTGATAAAAGCTTCACAGAGTCTGATAAAAAAAAAAAAATCCTGGCTGCTATAGACACAGTCTGCCTATTTAATGAAAGGCATGTTGGCTTAGGTCTCATTTATAATGATTCAGCATGTGTTACTGAATTTAGAGATGCAAGTAAAATAGCAGCAAATTTAAATCAATAAATTCATCCAGTTAAAATGTAAAAAGAAAATTAATTTAATCCAATACAATCTCTTCCTCTCTTGAGATGCAGAGCAGTCTTTAGGAGCTAACTCTCCTAAACAGTAAATAATCCCAACTGCACTAGCTGTATGCTGATTCCTCCTATAAAGGACCTGCATTTCACATTCCTCTTTATGGGCAGATCTCAGCAGTAGAAAATCACCTGCAGAATCAGTCTGTATGTTGTTCCTTACCAGTAAATTATACACAAAAACATTATATATCAATAAATGCTATTGTTTTTTGTATCATCACACTGCAACACATAAAAACAAGTGCTGCCACTCTTGTAGCAGGGCAGGAAACAGCACCCTGGCAGGAACAGCTATAACCAACCAGCAAGCAAAACACTGAAGAAAAACAGGAGCAAAAACGTGTTTCCATGGAATCTACATACAGCCCAGAAGAAAAACGTACACTTCCATTGTGAAGCATGGATGCACTATGAAGACATTAATATCTTGATATTAACAAATAAGGATAAGTCAGATCTTGCATATCCTACAATCTTCAGCATTTAATATTACCTCATGCTACTTATCCAAACCACTCACCTCAAGTCCCTTCTTTTGTTCTGCTATTTAAGTAGGTATGTTGGTATTTTATTTGATGTGGCAATGCTATAAATATTCTCCCAGCATTACAACCCAGAGATTACAAAAATATTCCATTTCTCATAATGAAATGAATGTCATCTCAGTCATTACGTGAGACAACTGGCTTCAATAGCTTCTGTGACTGGAAATCAATGGATCACTTCATGTCGTAGCCTTATGCAACTGCACGTAGAATTACTCAACTAATTTCTTTGATTCACATTGTTTAGCAAGTAAAAACCAAGTTCTCATGCAGAAAATAATGCTCCATTTTACATTCATGCTTCTTTCATTGAAATAGATCTTGTAATTTGATGTGGGATTTCAGACTTTTCAGTTTCACACAGCAGTTCACAAATTGTAACAGAAAGCTGAGCAGACAGCTCAAGTTTTGATCTTAAATACTGCTGTTCTTAGGGAGTAGAGGCATACTTCTGTGGTGTTTGCTGGGCTTCTTTCAAAACACTCAGCCAGGTGTAACCACTCTTTCACCTAAACTTTTTAATTGGAATTGAACACTAGGGTTAAATGAAACTAACATCCACTTTTTCCCTAAAAATCCTGAAAGTCAGCAATGTAAAATTCCCTTACTGGAAAATCAGTGATAGGATAGAAACATGCAAAAAATAAGAAATTAAGTTTTAGTATTTATAAAGACACCAGCACATTTTAAATGCTTAATATGGATAAGAGATTCATATGGTCCCTTCCCCATCCACACCTGTGGATGCCTTCTTCTGCTGTGTAGCCCAATACTCTGTGCTTTCTACAGGTTACTCTGACATAAGCTCTATACTGAAAATGGTGGTGAAACTGCAATTATATTTAATATTTTGTTGTGGTTTTTTTGCAGGCATCAGCTTCAACCTGCCAGGGCTTGTTAAGTGATTAACATGGTGAAACTGCCTCCAGGGACAACTTAAGTCTGAAAGCATCCCAGCTACCTTCCATCAGCCTAAGCTCACAGACTCCCACAGGTGAGGCTCCTTGTGATGCTCAGCTTCAGCATCTCCACACTGTATTCCCAACAGCAGCTGTGCTTAAGGAACATGAGAGAAGGTCAGAGTGCAGTTTGCTCCAAGCTGACCTCCAAGAGCAGACTAAGCCAGCAAGCAGTCCCCGTGTGATGTCTAGACGAGCCCACCACACTCCTCATGGGGGCTCTCAGAGGAGCGATGAGCCCCAGCCTCACACAAATGCCCAGACTGCCACCTCCCACACCGCTGTGGAGGATCCACTGTAGACACACGTAGCTAACCTCAAAATCAACTGCTGTGATGTGCAAAATGACCTACTTGGCATCACGTAACAGGAACTTCTCTTCCACCAGTTCTCAGGACCACGTTCTCACCCATGTAGCCCACGTTCATCCTTTCTCAGCCTTGTCCACACTCTCCAGCAGGGAGCATTCCCACTGCAGGGAAAGCCAGCAGCACCGTGCTCGCTGCTTTGCAGCACGCTGCCACACAAACTGCCTTTTCCAGTTTTCTGCACACAGGCTCACTGTATCTTTTCAAAGAGATAACATTCACAGTTCTCTCTCCCCCGTCTGGCTAGTGCCTATGCTTTTTTTACTTATTTCAGACATCTTTAATGGGGGAAGCACCAGCCAAGCTCCACGATGACAATCCCCTTTCCCCTGTTTCCTCTATAACCCAATTCATTCTCCACAGGCCCTGCCCTTATCTCCCCAGTTCTAAGTGAAAGGTACCTCCACATTTGCCTCTAACAGGAAAGGTTATGCAAAACCTTATTTTCGAAATGCAGGCTAAGCTATTTGGCATCATGTGGAATTGGAGGAAAAAGACAGAAAACCAAACCATTGCAGTCATGGCACACCAGACATGCTCTAAACACTGTCACATTTCCAAGGAAACTGACCAGGGAAGTGGGTTTCAGACCGCATCATTAGAGGATGATAGAGGAGCACTGCAACACCCACCCCCGATACGGTTTCGGCCCCGTTCTCAGCACAGAACCGGCGGTACCGGCACACCCAGGGAGCTGCCTCGTGCCCAAGCGCGGGCAGCAAAGCCCGGCACCGGCTTACGGCGGGTGCCCCAAGCCCGGCCACCCGCGCCGGGCCCAGGGCCGCCCCGTCCCGAGGCCGCACTCCAGCCCCGCCGGGGCCGTGCCCGGCGCTTCCCCAGCAGACAATGCCAGGGAGCGGCCACCCCGGAGCCGGGCCACGGCCGCCGTCTTCGCTCGGTCGCCTTTCCCTGTCAGAGCGGCGGCACGGCTTGACAGCCCCGCTCCCTGCCCGCGCCGCCCCGCAGCGCCCGGGACGGGGGGCGGCGGCCGGACCCTCACGGAGCGGCAGCGGGGGCCGCGCGTCCCCTCTGCACCCACCGCGGCCGCTCCCGCCTGCGGCGCTGCGGGCGGCCCCGCGCGGTCCCTGGGGAGCAGCTGTCAGAAAGCGCGGCCGGGTCGCGCCGCGGCTCCCGGGCCGGCGGGCGGGCAGGGCGTGGGATTTTCACCCGCTGGCGGCGCCACGGCCCCCGCGCCCCGCACCTCAGGGTGGGTCCCACGCAGGCCGTGTCGGTGCTTTCGATCTCCTGCAGGATCCGATCATGCTCGGGGAGACTCTCCGCCATCTTGGATGGGAGGGACCCGGCGGCCGCGCCGCTGCGGGAGGCGCCGAGGGAGGAGCGGCCGCGGAGCCGGGCGGGGGCCGGCGGGAGCCGCCGGGGAGGGTTCGCCGGTGCGCACTGGGCGCGGGGCGGAGGGGACGAGGGAGGGGCTGCGGCAGGTGAGGGGGCGCGGGTCGCGCCGGGTCGCGCCTTTCGGGCTCGCACCAGTTCGAAGGTGCTGTGCTGCCCTTGTCAGCGGCAGGGCTAGGCCGGGGAGCCCGGCAAAGCCCCTCCGTCCCCATGGCATCTCCGGGCGCTGGTGTCCGGCAGAGACCGCGGGCAGCCGCGTCTGCCCGGCGCCAGCCGCTGCGACCCGCTCGGGGCACTGTGACAAACGAGGGACGCGCAAAGTGCGGCCCCTGTACCGGACGGACCGGCTGCCCGCCGCCGTGCGCCGCGCTGCACAGACGCCTTGAAGGCTTACAGGGCTCAACACGACCTTTTCCACTGAGCTACTGAGTGTAGTTCTGGTTTGGTCTTGTGGCTAGTTCATGGTGTGGTCTTGTTTTATTATTATTATTATTATTATTATTATTTGGTTTGTTTTGATTTGACCGCTCCCGCACCGCGGACCGTGCCCGTCCCGGCAGGGAGGGAGGCACCGACCCCTGAGGCGGAGGCTCTGCCGGGTTTCTGCATTGAGGTTATGTCAGTCTTCATTCCTTCCATTCTTTACGTGATAGAAACTTGGGGATCGGCGTAAAAATAGAACAAAACCAATACAAAACAAAAAAGTGCATCTTTATATGCAGTGGCTTGCTGTGTTTCACTAGAAACTGACAATGTTTCCTAGTGCTTTGTACAGCAAAGCTTCATGTGTCAATGAAGGAGGAATTACTTATTTTCTATGTAAATTTTACACTTTGTGGCCTGTGGCCAGGGATTAACTAATCCTTGGGTTTGCATGCTCAGAAGACAGGATGCACCTGCTCTCTGGGCAAAGTTATCTGCACACCAGTGGGAAGTTCACGTAAAGCAATAGGCCAGATATGTAAAACTTCAGGGTGATTGTGTAGCTACTTTTTCCAGTAAGGAACTGACAGCATTTGACAAATGTGAATGCATCAAGGTCTACAATTGCATTTGGCATCCTTCCAGTTACTATTATCAAGCCCATCATCTGTTCTGGTGCAACTACACCTGTACACGAGTTAATAAATGGCACCGAAGCTGATGCACATCTTGTCTATGCTTGTGCCTTTATCATATTCAGTGTTGATTCAGATTGTTGATTCATCTACTAAATCAACAAGGACTATTCTGAATGTAGACAAGTGCTTACAAATTGCATAATAAAAAAAAAAAAGGAAAAAAAATCCTACCACTTGTATTTCCTCAAGAAATCACTCAAATACAGTAACGATTTTCCCACATTCTTTTTTTTTCCCATCACCAAAATACTGAAGTTATAGATTGACACATTTTTCAGGGTGAATTTAATTTTCTTTTTTTAGCCTGATGCAACCTGACACCTACAGTGCCAGTCAGGCTATTTTTAAAACTCTTCTACAAATACTGACAATATACCTAGAAAAATTACGTTACAATCTTATATATAATTACTTTTTTTAAGGACAAATATGTGGAGGAATTTTTTCAGTTGCACTTTTACTATAAAACAGTTTCCATAAGCTACAAACAAAACAGAAATAATTAAATCTTCAGCCGTTTAGAAATATCAACAGTAAAACCTTAAGTAGTTCTGTCTTTGGTGATTAAAACAAAAGTTGCATTTATTAAAAATGTAAGAATAAGAAGCAGTAAATTATTTATAAAAATGTAGCTGTTGACTTTAAAAACATTGCTACACAAAAGAGAACATTTCCCCTTGTTTTCATTTTTAAGAGCACTTTCTTTTTCACAAATCTGCAGCCAGATATCAGAAACAGATCGCTTTGTCCAGGTGAAAAGAAAGAGCAGAGTAGGTGACCTTGGTTTGTATTTTTTCACTGAGGGCCAGTCACATTGAAATTAAACTCAACTTTCTTGTAGGCTTCAGGGTCAGGAAAACAAAGTTTCTAATATATTTTGCTGACTGAAAGAACAGCTATAGAAGGAACACATCCATCATGAAGAGTATAATACTATTAAAAAGAAGCATACCTTATGGTGGTTCCAAGAGGCAGCTCAAAGGACTGGATCTCAGCAAGGGCATTTTCATATATCTGATCTTTATTTTCTTCTAGATACAGTTCTGAGAGATTTGACTTGCTTTTCCTTGCCATAGAGTAGCATAAAACTAATCTAACTTTAGGAGAGGACTTTTATTCTGATTATTATAGTTGACTAAGTGGCTCTGTAGTCAGCAAAACCAAGCATAAAAAAAAAGATCCTGTGCTAACCTCGTGACTCCTGAGGACTTTGTGTCCAAGAATGGTGCACAGCTGCTCTTTTCCTGTCTGCTGGTATCATTTGCCTCGTATGCACTACCCAGGCCTGCACAGTCTTTTGTGTGTATGTGTCCAATATATATTAGTCTTAACAACAAATTTCCTGTCAAAATAATATTTTTACATCCTTGAAATAAATATTAAACCTGAAATTTAGTAATTTTGAAAACATAACTTTAAAGGAATTTCAGGCACTAGACATCAATGCTTAATTTCTCTGTTAAGTTTTATGAGATTAAAATTATTATTTTTTTAATTATATTATCCTTTTGCTATATAAAAAGCTTGCACACAAGGACTTAGCTGGTTTTATGAAAGAGGTTTATGGATCTCCTGAAGCAGATTAGAAAAACAGAGAAACATTTATGTTCTCATCATTTTCCTTTTCAGCATTAGTAGTTGCTACTTCTAATAACAAATTGCAGAAAACGCTCTGTGATAACTGTGGGGTTTATGTGTATGAGCAAAAAAAAAGTTGTTACTAATTTATTACCTGCATGGAAAAAATTGGATAACAAATGTTGGGAGCAGTGCTGCTGTCACATCATTTTCATGATGATGGCAAAGAAAACACCTTGCACAACTGCCATGAATTATTTTAATTTCAGGCAGTTATTTCAAACATGAGACTGGAGTTCTAGATCTTTAAGTTTAAAGAACTGTTTAGAAGCCTAATTCAATATCATTTGGATAATCAATATATTTTGGGTTTTTAAAATATTGCTAGAGGTTTAATCAAAATTTGGCTCCTAAGCTCAGTACTGCTCCTGACAAAATTGATTAATCCAGACACTCATGATGCAGTCAACAGTTAAGTGCAGGAAAACAGAGATCACTGCTTTTGGAGCAGGGTGATAAACAGTTTATTCAGTTTATTCACTTCTCTGTGCCCAGTGGGAGCACTGAGGAGATGAGTTCACATCAGTAGCAGTGGGAAAGAACACTAAAGGCTGCAGTGAGTTAAGGTTACAAATTTGCAGCGTGTTTCCGTGAACAAGCTGCTTTAATCACCAGTTTATTTTTGAATCAAAATTAAGCAAATGCTCTGTTAGCATTATTACGCAATACATTTCCTGCTTTCATGTTCTACATGGAGTTGGAGTAATTTTTACACTTTTCACCAGAAATGGGAGCCTGTGATTGACCCATTCAGCCACTGGATGTCACACAAACGCAGATGAAAGGATGGACGTGGAAACTACTAATTTCTAATCTTAACAGTCATCGGATTTAGAATTAATTTAACAATTATAAGGTGACAGTGTGCAAGTAAACTGCAAATATTATAACAAGATTAAGCTTATTTGTTTGATAGAAGAAAGTACATCTACTGCCACTGTGGAAGAGCAGAGGCAGGGCAGGTAAATCAGAGATGCCTCAGACATCTACACCCAGCCATCACACACTGTGGCTGGCAATAAAAATAGAATGCAGTGATGGAAGCATGATGATTTATACAAAATGCTTTTATGAATATATTTATGTGATTTTAAATTAGTTCGATTCTTACAGAGGCTTTGGATAAAATTTCTTTTTCCTCCTCCCCCAAAGAATTTAAACAGTAGCTTACTTTAGGATATCAGCTAACCAAAATAAACAGGACTCTGAATCTGTTGTGCAAATGTTCTTGCTGGTATCACAGCTGCCTGGAAATAAATATGTTTAATAACAAAGCAAAACAATGTAAGAAGAAGCAAACAAATACAAAGGCGAATGACCAAGAAATAGGCAGATGTTACAGTCTCCAGTTATGGCAGTGGGTGTTGAAGTACCTTGGTTCTCTGGACAGGATCAGGCCAAATTGCCCCAGGCTTGACTGCTCAGCTCTCCAGAGTGTTTTACACCCCCATCGAACCTAAGACCACGACATCCAGAGGATGATCCAAGGTACAGTGGTGGATTTGTATCTGACCTCAGATCAGTGGGCAGGAGTACATTAAACCTGTCAGAAGCCCTTTCTGCTGCAGCTGACCCTGCTTCTACCCTGTGCTGTCTGTCCAGCCTGTGCTCCCCTTCCCCACGTCTGTCAGCTGCTCCTCCCCACCGTAATTCCAGTGCTGACTAGATGTGCCCAACATCTACATCTTTCAGTCACACAGGAGCTTTTCCTGTTTCCAGCTGAGCTCAGGGTCACTCTCAAAAGGCTTTAGGGAACTGCCTCGTTCAAGGAAATAAAGTATTTTTGTAAAAAGACAAAGGGACAAATTCAGTATAGGCACTTGACATCCGCTTCTGGCAGAACAGTGTATCTTTGCTTCACAACTATACATAACATACTTGGAGGCTGCAACTAAATAGTTTGTCACCAAAGACAATACTAAGTAATTTTTTTAAAATTTATGTTATTCTCCATGCAGAAAAGGACAGGAGATGTTATCATTTCTGAGGTATCATAGTTGTACTAAGTACTTGTACTAGTTCAGATTTAACCAGGTCAAGAAGCCTGAGAAGGCTTCTTCTAGGAGTCCCCAGCAGATAATGAGAAGGTATTTTCTGTGCTGGCTAAATTCACACTATTTCTGTGAAGGAAATATTTCATTATCTGGACAGGCAGAAACCTCAGGCCCTGTAAGATATAGA